CCTATGAAGACATGCTGAGAGAATTGGGGTTGTTCAGCCTGGACAAGAGAAGGCTCCATGGATACCTCTGAACATTCCAGTACCTAAAGGGGGCCTGCAGGAGAGATGGAGAGGGACTTTTTACAAGGGCATGTAGTGATAGGACAGGGGGAATTGGCTTTTAAGTTAAAGAGGGGAGGTTTAGATTAGGTACTAGGAAAAAAATCTTTACTGTGAGGGTGATGAGGCACTGGATGTGGATGACCAATCTCTGGAAATGTTCAAAGCCAGGTTGGATGCAACACTGAGCAACCTGATTTATTGAAAGGTGTCCTGCCCATGGCAGAGGGTTTGGAACTAAATGATCTTCAAGGTCCCTTCCAACCATACCATTCTATGATTTTATGCTAAATTATATAGAGACTGGCATTTATATGTATTAATTATCCATGTATACACAATGCCCTATGAATATTAAATCAAATTGTGTTATTTGAGAAATTCACCTTGTAGATTCATTAATAGTTCATAGTTATGTCTTTGCCTTACATAAAGGCAGTTGGTAAAAAGTTGTTTGATTTTGTTCTAGCCAGAATGCAAGTCTCAAATTTTTATTGAATATAATCATGTTACTGTATTTATGCCCAGTTGTTCAGTTACTTTGGAACTGTTTATCCAATTTAAACCACAAACCAACTAAAACCAAGCTTATGAACTATCTGCTTTCAATGCAATTTCTCAAATGCCATCAGGAGACTTTAAGCTTGCAGATGTTCCCAGTTTCCTCGTGCTCGTTTTCCTTTTCTTCCAAGGAAGGGTAAGACTGATACAGTACTTTCATTAGTGCAAAATAAAGGCATTTCCTCTTACATATTTGGCCAGCCATTTGTGCTAGGGGGTTGCTCAAGCTTAGTGACTGCTCAGTCCCAGAAGGAGGATTTTATAGTCTTTGTTTCCAGTAGCTGACTTAGATCCTTTTACAGTTCCTTTGCCAGAACTCCTTGGAAAGTGAGCAGGAAGTAGAAAGCAATGCATCCACCTACTTAACTGCTGAATGCTGGTGGGGCAGTGAAAACAAGCTTACCCAAATCACCTATTTTACTAGTTTTCTCCACTTTCCTTGCCACTGGTAGCTCTGTGATTCACTATTTCCACCAAGTCACCCGTGTGAGAGAACTAGAGAAAGTTCCTTTTCTTCCATTCCTGTCTAGCTTGTTATAGGAAAAAAATAATCATGTAATTGAGGAAAATTATGAAGGTCTATTAAAGCAGAAGAATTTCTGCCTGTATAAGGATTAGAGGAAATAGGCTTTAACGTACATTCTCTCCCAAATTCTCTCTTCTCTGTTTATCATATAATTATGACTTCAACTTCTCCTCCCTCAAATGAAGGCGTATCGAACTGCCATACATCATCTTAGAAAAGGCTTTTACTATGCAGGATAGCTAACCTTTGTTCTCAATGACAGCACTTTAAAGATTTTCTCAACTTGCAACTTCTTGAACTTCTTGTTCATGACGCATGACGCATGATGCTAGAGCTGCCTCCTTTCAAGCTCATCGCTTCTGCGCTGGAATCTATGCACTTCTTGCTTTGGACCTAAACAACAAGAATGTGACCCTGATGCTATGAAAGCACTTCCCAACCTTCCACTGACCTCCAGAGCCAGAGCTACCTTTACATTCTCTTTAATGTTTCTGGACATTGGTAACTTTTATGGCAGAAGCATTAAAAGTAAATACTGTGCCACTGGAAGTACCTCCTTCTGGATATCTCTCTTTAAATTCCTATGTGGTTTCAGCCTAAGGATCCCAGAATGGAGTTGTACAAAATTTGTAGAAACTTCTGAAAGCATCAATTTTAGTCTCTATCCCTGTAAAGAATCTGTGAACCTCATTTGAATATTTTTGTCTTTTGCTGTTTGTTAGTACATCATATCTGTCTTGCATTACAAATAAGAAATAGAGAACATATTTGTGTCCTAATTTTGGTAGCAATCCTCTCTTTTTAACACATCTAAGTACAAGACTAATAATTATAATTTAAAAAAGCCCATTCTTCACAGCTTAGGGGCTTAAACTTTTATATTCTTCCTTTATTCTGAATGTATCCCTCAGGAAACAACTCTCTGTAATAATCACCTTGCCTACACTTCTTCAGTCACACATTACATTCTCTCTCCCACTTTCTTTCAGGTTAATATTAGTGTTTGTCAGCAGCAGACTCTTTTTTCAAGGCTCTGAGTCATTACAGTAACAGTTATGCTCTCAATAGAGAGTTCAGGGTAGGAAAAAACCTCAGCCTAATGCCTACATGTATCTGACTGTTAAAGAACCAGAAGGCTACTCACTCCTTTCTCACTCCTTTTAAATGCCAAGTGTTCCATTACATTCCTCTTGAGATTTTGGGAGGGTTTTTTGTTGGCTTTCTTTTTTTAATTTGGGAAAAAGTCAAATGTGATGTAGTAGGTTACTAAAGCTCACGATGAGGAATTTTGGCTTCAGATTTTTCCTAAGTGTGACAGGTTTTTTCCCAAGTATTTCTCTAGCAGAGTTCAACTGGTTGGTATAATGGTCTAGCTCACAAAGCATTCAGTCTCTGTCTAGTCCTATATAGATACCTGTGTATCTTTAGATTAGATACAAAATCACTTCACCCATTATCCTAAACAGGGATCTATGCTGATAAGAGATCCAGTCAATAGCAGAGGTTTTGCAAGTTTGGCTTCAGGCCTTGACAGAGCACAGGTAAAACAGAGAGCTAGAGTGTACAGTTTCTGGTTCTGGCCACTGCTGCTCTTCCCTGTCCTGTCCCTTGAGATGCTCTGCAGTTCTTTGGAAAACAAGTCAGAGTACACATCTCAATGGACTGTGCTTTAGCGTGAGAGCTGTGCAGAACTTTCCCACTGAGCCTCAGGGATATGTGAAGCCTGATCTGGGATCATGCTCAAAACAGATCTGTTTCATCTGCATGTTTCTTTAGACATACAGGCTTTTCAACTCAGCTGGATTCCTTTTTTTGAGGGTTGAGCTCTTCCTGGACTGTGGGTCAAATCTGAGCCCACACTACCATCCCAGAGATTTTCTAATCAGGTAAGCAAGGATTTCCCTCATGGTGATGAATGCTACAGAAACATCTAAATATATAGGCGCTGTTACCTTTCTTGTTGCTAAGTGCTCCCTAGTCAGAAAGAGCTCTTAGCAGTTGTCAGAAATGCTTCACTATAATTTAAAATAAACTGTAAATGCCTGAGATGGATGAAAGTATCAAGATGGATGATCTTGCAATGGTCAGCAGAGAGGCTGCTGGTGATTTCAATGACTTTGCTTGCCAGTCATGCTTGAAAATTACAATGCATATTGAAAGGGACATAACAAAGAGGATCAGGAAGATACATCAAAGGCTAAAGGATAGGTGCTATTAAACATTCTCCAGCTTGCAAGCTTTTCATTTTTTCAGTTTCCTTCTGACTGAGAGATTGTGTCCCGAGGAAAAACCGTAAGTATTCCATATTGCTTGCAAACAGGCAGATATAATCCTTGGAGTGAGTGATGTTCCTGTCTCTCATTTTCCTTCTGAGTCTCTGCGCTGCCAGCCTCTCTTCTTTTTCCTGGTTGTATGTTAAAGAATGCCAGCTGGGCTAAACAGGCAATTGGTCCCTGTTCCACAGGATAATGGATCCAATAATTATCAGAGGCCAGCTTGGAGGGACAGTTATATAGCTATATAGCTATACAGCTATTGTTCAGTAGTCACCACGGCAAATACAAACCATCCAAAATGCAAAGATGGAGATGCTAGCAACTCTCAAAAATGCAAAGAAAGCAGCTTGCAGTGTTCTTCTGATTGCTTTTGCTTTAATTTGAGTTTAGGAATGAAAACGTTTTTCACATCTCTGAAAACAGGAACACAATTTGGTAAACCAGATCTTCCACTAAGGTGGCACAGTGAGACACCTACTCAATCCAACTATATTTAGTGGAGTGCCAGTGTAGGAACAGCCATACCAGACTCTACTTGGAGTTCATGTAGCTTCTCCTTATGTTTGACCCTGTCTGCGTGCTCTGGAAAAGAATATGAGTCTTAGGAACGGGAATCCATGTAGTAATCTCTTCATGGGGATTCTTACTTTCTAACCTGCCCCAAAAAACCCTTGTACTCTGTGGGTTTATTCATCTTCTTGAGTTTCTTCTTAAAAACAAACAAATGACAAAAAAAACCTATGCTTCTTAATATATAGTTTTCTGATACTAAAAAAAAATCCAATCTTTGAGAACCCACAGTTTTGAGCACCAGTAATATTTGGTGGCAATGGAATTCAGAAGGCATTTATATCTGACCTTTTGAGTAAAATATCTGCAAAAATGGGAAAACTAGGTCTGATTGCTTATTGACACTTCTCTCGACCAGCACTCTTGAGTTTAAATTTATCAAAGGATCATTTTATCCCTGCCCTCTTCAATTTCTTACTCATTTCCAAAAAGGCTTTGGGAAACTTCTGAAAGACCTGTTAGAAAAAGCAAGGTCCTGATCCTCTTGTGAGAGATGCCCATGCAATTTAATAGCATGGCCCTTCTCTAGCCCCTAGTGCCTGGCTTGGTCAGAATTCCAAACTATGTGCAGTTTCAGTAATGCTAAACTAGATCAGCTGGAAGCCACAAAGAGATAACTGCTATATCTCAGCTTATTAGCTATTCAAGATCACTTTTAAACTTTTAAAAGGCAAATTATAATTGAAAATATCTCAGTAGAAACATATTCTGCTTTCACAGTCTATGGATATGCATGTTTAAGCTATCATGCCATGACACTCTGCCCCTTGATTTATATTTTTACTGATGCTTTGACTGAGTAGTTTGTTGCCATGTACTGCTAAATGAAGGAAAAATCAAAAACTGCATCAGACAACCACTCTGTATTTCATTCTAGAAAATAGCTGGCAATTATAATTACTCACCATGTTTCTGGCTCAGAATAAAAGTGGCATTGCACAAAAAAACCACACTGAACATTCATCGTGATTAGAAAATGCTCCATACCTTGGAGTGCAGTGGAGACATAAGAATAATTTTAAATGCAAATTAAATTGTGGGGGTAGCAAAGAGAACAGATAAAAGACAGTAAAACAAAGCCTTTCACTTTCCTCAAATTAGCAGGCTAATGTAGTATAAAAAAAAAGCAGTTCTACTCAGATCTGTGCTAAGAGCTTTCATTTCATCATAATATAAAACAGCAGATCCATCACCTTTCTCTATTCAGTACTCTTCATTTCGAGGTTGAAGTGAAAATTAGAAGCTGTTCTTTCTGGCTCACAGACTGGGTTGCATTTGCTTAGTCTTATTCCATGACAGTAGGATGGAAAGAGGTCAGTAACACTGGTAAGTACTTCTGCATCTGATTTTATTTATTTATTTTTAAAATCTTTCGGTGCTTTGGCTTTTTGTCAATGTGCATTTCCTAAAAAAAGCTACATTGTGTATTTTGTAAAAGGCTGTATCTTATGCAGAAATGCAATGATTCCTTGAGAATGCTTGTATCAGATGTTAGAGCTCCTTCAAGAATGAATTACTTTAAGTAGGAATTCTGTAATAGGAAAGGTTTTCTTAATATTCTATATATTTCATAGCATCACTGAAACATTTTGTATGTTGCTTTTCTGTCTGCCTTGTCCAACAAGCAGTACCAGATAAGAAATGAATCTCTTCTCAAGATGCTATTTGCATTATATTCATAGCAAAACAATCTCATTACCCTTAAGGTAAATGATGAAGTAAGCAGGTATTTTACTTAGTGAAAGCAAATTATTAGATAAAACACAATGTTAGGTTTAAATTTAACCATTATGAAACATTAAAAATATCTCAGAATATGAGATGCAACAAGGAAGACTGAAGTGTAAAACAAATTCTTAAGGAAACTTGATATAGATTTTTTTTTTCCTTGGGAAAGTTTTTATCAAATCAAAATCAGGGGCTAAATTCTTTAGTACGAAGGGTGAGGGGGTGTGGGGGAGATGAACGTAGTGTCACCTCCTGTTGCTAAGTAACAGCATCTCCTGGCCATTTTTATCTGATAAAGGAAGTCCAGTTGACGTTATGCATTATTCATCAGAGTTCCAATCAAACAATCAAAATTGTTTGCTTACACTGGGGACATTTAGTAAGATCAAAGAAACCCTCCTTGAAACTACTGGAGCTTACACCACTGCCAGACAGCCCTTGATACTCTGCAGTAAGTATCATTTCTGCTTTGGGAGTGCTACAGTAAAGTGAATTGCTGTGGAACGTAAAAGTTTTCTCATCAGGACAGACTTCTGAATTTTAAAAGGACTGCATGTTGATTGATGAGAACTGAATCAAAGGAAAAAGGTAAAGCTTTGGAAACCTGGTTTTCTGATTTTTCACTGCAAAATTAAAGGAATTACTTGAAGCAAGAGTCAGAGTCCCTGCTCCAAACCTTTTTGTTAGGTTTGCACGGAAAAGAACTAGAGGTATATTTGTCCGTCTGTCTTAAAATACACATTGTTCAGAGTTGTTTGCATGCTTATGATTATATGCTGTGGTGAACTGTGGTGTGGGTGAGAGAACGAGGTTGAGTGTTTTCTGCAAATCTTGGTTTTTCTATATGAGTTTCTAAGAGTAGAATAAAATGCAGAAGGTAGTAATGAAGCTGGAGAGGGGTCACAGTATTTTTCCAGGAACTCTGCTGGAGTATAGGCAAACATAATTCAGTGTACATCTTGGAGAGCTGTAATCTAGGATCTCAGCAGAGCTGAGCTTCAAAAGGATGCCAAAAATATGAACCTTAGCTACGAAACAGTTCTAGGAGTACCCTACCATTTCTTAATGATTGCTCTTACCACATATTTTAAAACTGATGGTGGTGTGTTTTGCTCCTACTTCTGGTCAGCAAGAGGAGAGAGGGAAGGCAAGGCTGGCTTCTGGTCCATTTAGGTGGAGTGAAATATCCAGAATATTGTGTCTTCCTTTCTAGTGCAGCATTTTGGCATAAGTGGCAAGAATGCAATCTTTGATGTAGTCTGTTATAGTAGTGCCTACTCGGAGACACTGGCTGGGAATCTGGCTAAAGGAGGTCCCTGACTGATTTTCTTTTTAAGAGCAAATGTAATGGGCAGATGAATCCAAGTATGTGTCTTAAGAAACAGAGACTGTGACTAGAATACAGGTGATTGTACTAGGAAGATACTAGGAATGTTGCTAATATTGCAGTAGCACTTTTCTTTTTTGTCTTTAGACAAGGGCTTGAATCAAACATTCTAAAAGAGAAAAGGATGCTTATGAAGTTCTATGAATAGTGACTTGAAAATACTTTGACCCTAATATGCCAGATGAAGTACTTTAGTGACTGCCTACACAGTTCTTTCCACAAAGAAACCCACCAGCTTTTTTCTCCGACATCTCTGTAATCTTCTCTAGGAATCTGACTGATCGTTCATACCGGAGTATTGTACACAAACACAACGCACCTTCAAAATGGACTACTTTTTGGATGTCGAGTCTGCTCACAGACTGTTTTACAGTCAAGGAGCCCAAGGTAAGAAACTCTGGCACTAAAAATTACTAGTTTAACTGTACAGTTAAAATGTATGGGGCCAGATAGGGGCCAGTGATCGACATAAGTGTTGAGAGGGCACTGGGTAAGGCCTTCAAAATGTATGGGCTTTAAAAGGGACTACAAGAAGAAAAATGGTGGGGTTGATCTGCCCTCTCAGAGGATAAGGAAGGACTGTGAGAGCTGCTGGGTGTGCTGCAGGAGTAAAAAGAGCTGCCAGGATCCAGGTTCTGCTGTTGCAGAACCCAAATGGACAAGACAGCAATGGCCTGCAGCTTGCTGAGTTAGCCTGTGGTGTCCTTTCCCTTCCTCCTTTTGCTTCTCAGTGCTGTCAGGATCATAAGGTGATGTTATTCTGGAAAAACTGGTTTGGAAAAGCCCTGAGGCAGTCCCCCCACATGGTGGTTTGCAAACAGCAGCTCTCACTGGTCTGCCTTGTCCCCTGTGAAATGCTGGCCCCCACAGAGCAGCAGCAGGGTGAGAGGGGAAGGGTAAACAAGATCCACTTCTTTAATGTAGTTGAGACTTGTTCACGACATAGATGATATTTTTGGTAAAGTCAGTTCACGTTTTTCTCACCAGCTCTATATTTGGAGAAAACTTGCAATTTCAGAGAGAAGGGTGTTTTTTTTTTTTCTTTAAACTTTAAACACCATATTAAATTCAAGAAAACTGTAAGAGCTAACTAGCTCTATCAGCCATTTCTGCTTCTACATACTGTCTACTCTACATTTTACATACTCTCATTTGAAAATGAGATCCATTTTTCTTCCACAATTAATTCCATTGGTTGCTATCATATGCAAAGTCTGGACAACAGAGTTTGGCCTTCCCTCTGGAGGCCATTCTCCCAGAGCAAGATGTAATCCACCCACAGGATGCCACCAACCCATGATAGGAGCAGTACCACCTCTGACCTTTGGCTCAGCTGAGGTGCTGCTGCCTAGCACATGCTGTGCTGCTTAGCTGCTGCCTCAGTTGTTGCGAAACATTTTTACCAGTTGCAGAGTCTTTCTTGTCACAACACAGCTTCCTGCATTAACAAGAGAAGCGAATACTAAGCACCACAAAATCAGGGAAAAAAACAGCTGAGGGCAATGACTGGGGTTTTTTTCTGCATCTCTAAAATGCATCAAACACCTGGGCATTGCTACACAAGTAATATTGAAATATGTTCTTCAACCCTCTTTGAGCAGAGAGGTTGGACTAGATGACCTCCTGTGATCCCTTCCAACCATAACTATTCTGTGATATCTCTATGGAAACAAACCATTTCTATTCCATTGAAACTAAAATTCAGGAATATACATCTTACTGCTTTACGAAATACAGCAAATTATCAACATCATCCAAATGCTCTGTGAACTGCAACATACAGAGGCAACTGTGGAAGAAAGAATATGTGTTCGTGCAATGAAAGTCTATTACAGTCATGTGCACAAGGTGACTAGTAAGGGCTGTGCAGGTCACCTTCACTGTAGCTATTTCCAAGCAGGCAAGATTGAAAAACACTATCCTACCCATACTTGGAGAAATTATATTGTTAGCACATATAGAAATGTTTGTACTGATCAGTTACTAAATCCAAAACAAGGAAAAAAGTCCATTATGCAGAACTGTATTCCTTGATACAAATGTCATCAGCAGGGGGCTGACCTCTAGATCTGTTATGTGAACTTCTATCCCTTGGCCGAAACAAATAGGAACTATCACTGAGACTTGGAGATTTTTTGTTCCCTTGCTTGTGAATGTTTTATGAAAGTCACCAATTACGTGCTTTCTCTGCGCCCTAGACCCTAACTACTTCCACAACTAGAAACATTGATAGAAAAGCCATGCTGCACTTAGGCTCTGTCCCCTTCCACTTTTCACCTTTCTTGTTGCTCCTTTTACTGCATTTCCCACAGCTCCTGCTTTTTGCATCTCTTACCTTTACATGCTTGAGGCAAGGCCTCTTCCCCAAACTCTTGTAACCTCCCCTCTCTTCATATTTCTGGTCAGCTGCTCTCCAACAAGCTGAGTACCAGCAGAGAAATTGCTCTGAGCACAGAAGAGACAATGCTTCTGCTTTACATTTTCAAATGCTGCAACACAGCAGCCCCCTGGCACCCAGGAAAGGTGCTTGAGGGGAAGAACGGATGAACAACTGCAGTGGCAGTAGGATGCGAAACAAAATGTGGCCTGTGCAGAGACATTTCAGGAGGCTTTCACTGAGCATCTCTGAGGTACCACAGACAGCTTCAGCAGGCCAGCTCTGCTAACTCCTGTTGCCCTTGTATCTTATGCCAAATTTTAAGGGTGTCTTCCAAAAAGCAAGCACTTCTACATGAGATAACGGCATGGTATCTCCAAACATAGGCAAAACCAACATATTTCTTCCCTTCTCTACCTTCTGAGGAACGGGCTAACTCCATTAGCTTTAACTTTCTGAAACCATCCCCAAGACACACTGAGTGTGAGGCACTCATCTGCAATAAATAGCATAGCTCAAGTAGCTTGTATGGAACTGAATAAAAGGTCTGCAAGAAAGCATCGTCAACAGATCTGCCTAATGGGATTGCAAGTAACTATTTGACATTGATATAATAACACGACGCTATTAGCAAATCACACTATCAAACATCATGTGTATATGCATTAAAACTGCAATAAGAACTGAGTGAAAGAAGGCTATAGTATTCTGCCTGTTAATTAGAAACAACATCAGAAAACAATATATGTATTATTAGTACTGTAGTTATATTATTATATTATATATTAACAGAGCATTACAAAGTGCTCTGTTTACAGAATGTAGAATGGGAGTTTATGACCCGCTCAGCTCTTCTGTGAGATTTGAAAATCTCAACCCTTTAGTACTCCAGATCAAGAAAAAAAAATCTTTCCAGTGTTTTTACATTAATGACATGGCAATGTTACAAATGGCAGCAGTAAAGCACTTATTCTCATTTGTAGCCATTCCTTGTGTGTGGAAGAGAAGAGAAGGAATAGGACTGCAAAATGTTGGGAAGGAACTCAAAGAGCTATGATGTCACTGACAACTGATGACATCAAATTCGACCTGTCCTAGGGTCTTGTGTAGTTGAATGTGTGATACTCTGACCTCAACAAACAGACTGAGACAGGGTTTTATCCTCCAGCAACTAATCCACCAGTTCTCTACGCCTTACTGCCTGCACTAATGCCCACACCTTGTTCCTAGTCCTGCAGAAAGAAGTAAACTGCCTTTGCTGTTTTAGGGTAGGAGGAGAGAGGTGTTACTTTATGAGCTGCCATCTCTCCCATCCTCTCCTCTGCAGGAGCAGCCATCACCTCACTTCCATGGGCTGAGCACAGAGCAGAGAAATGCATGCCCATTCAGGCTGTATCTGCTGTTCAAACAGCTGTTCCCTGTTTCCTTCAAGGAAAGTGAAGCAGGAGGAATGGAAAAGTCACAAAGCTGGATCTGGCAGTAGGATTAGCTAGATTTAGAAAACTTGGTAAATGAAGCCAGCTGGCTGTAGTCTTCAAACACAAGCCAGAAATATCCTAAGCTCTGCAGCCCTCCTGACTGTCTCTTCTGTACTGTATGTTGGAATCTAGGAGCTGGTGGGATGTCTTTGCCAAGTGCGTAATGCCTGGTGACGCATCTGCAAATCAGAAACAGAGAAAGAAAGGACTGTGATCCCTTGGATCCAGCCTCTTGCCCTTGGAGAGCCTGAATCTGAAAGCTAAGCATGAAGCTAGGCTTCCATTTTTGAAAAAGCGTTCACCTTCTGAAGAATCTGGAAGATACTGGTTATTCTTGGCTGCAAATGTATTCTAAATACAAATCAATCATGGCTTTCAGCTGCAAGGGCTGCAAGATATAGTGTGGCCTGGAATAGGATTTAACTCACTTATCCCTTAGGTGACCTCAATGAAGATTTTTCCACCTAAGAGTTCTAACTAGCTTGGCATGTATCAGAAAAAAAGTCATTTTAAAAGCAAGGTTCACCTAATCTTAGACATCTTCCTTGGGTTAATGTAAGTCTTGCCTCTATACTGATTATGAAAGCCTAGACAGTGAACTTGAGTGAAATATACCTGTGCTAATGACATTTGTTTGCATAGAGAAATGGTGTGTGGACAGGCAAGATAGGATCTAATTCAGAAAAGGGAGTAATTTCCTCAGAAATGGGTAAAGCTGTAATCCAGAGCTGTAAATGTGCAGATCCCATCTTGGTTGTAGCCATGTCTTGAAGAGACATCATTGATCTTGAAGTTCTATGTGAAAGTTATGCTTTTGGGCATGCAAAGACCTCACATTTGATAGAGCTGAGCAGGCAGGCACTGAGGAGCAGCAGAAGTGAGCAGCTCCATGAGGAAAAGTAAACCCAGAGTCACTAAAAGAGGCAGGAGCCTCACCTGTGAGGTAAAGCATGGCAGCACACGAGCCAAGCAGGTCTGGTGACAGTCACCAGGTTTAGTCAGGAGTCCAGATGACCAGACAAGTCCATGGATGATGAGGCAGGCATGAGACTAAGCAGGACATGAAGTCAGCAGTCTGGATGTGGATCAGTGAGGAATGTAGCCAGCCACAGGCACAGCTGCAGCCTTGCTCAGCAAATGGGCAGTGGCCACAGTGTAAGTGTAACTCCAAAATCAGGGAGAAAGTAGCTACTGAGGCTTCTTGCTTCCTTTTCAAGAAGCTCCAAAGCTGGTCAGGGCCTCTTAAACCTCTCTCTCCAACAGCTGTACCATGTCAATGAGCCTGCCTTGAGCACAGCCAACTTCACTCTGTGCAAGGAGTCACACAGAGCTGTTGGTACCTGGCTTTTGCCTAGGCTTCATCAGGATTAAGAGCTGAGGAACCCCTCCCTACCTCCCTTTGTATACAAGGGGGTTGAGCCCCATGATGAACTCTGAGAAGAATAATTCCTGCCCAGTATGTTGCATTTAGGTACCACTATAAAAGGGAATTTGCCCATCATAGACAGCACTTCACACTTTTCTGCAGCCAT